ACTGATATATATGTATATATATATATATATATATATATAAAAATAATATTAAATGAAGGCTTGCACTCACTGTCTTTTTCTTGTATAAAAGTTTTCTTTCTTTATTCCATATCTCTTAAAACATAATTTCTGTTAGAATCAACGTTTCAGCCATCGTTTGTGGCTTTCATCAGGATCAGTTCAGCAAAAATACATTTACTACATAATGCATTTATATAGCCAAACAAACCAATTATTCAATCATACTATCACTCACCACCTTTATCGCTGCTTCCCCGGCATCTCTCCATCCTTTTTGCGCATGTGCAAACACGTCACAACCCGGAAGTAGCGTGTTGACGTCACCGACCGTTGCCAGGGTTACCCGATATGGTTACCGCACCCTGTCAACTAGGTTTACTTATGCACAGCAGAGAGTTACGCCCGAGCATGCATACAATCAACAAATTAAAAACATGTTCTTAAATAAAAAGCTTATACCATATTACTTCATACATCTAAGCACATTATGTAACATTTATATCTGTACATCCTATAGTATTTAAAGGTACCTCTTCTATTCAATTTATATTTTTAATCTACTTCACAGTATAGTCTCAAAAACAATCCTGTGGATTATATTTTATTAATCTTTCTTAGATTTTTCAAAGAAAATTTATAATTAAATCTATACCAAGTTATTACTATTATGCACATATATTAATCCATACAGTGTAATATATACAAAAATGTGTTATCAAATCTTTTTATAGTAATATTTATATGTCCTTTTTTATACTTTTAAACAAAATATTTTTTTTAAATATTATTACTCTACCCTAAAGTGCATTTATGTGTTTATTATACATTAAAGTGAGCCTGTGTAGTTTATGTACATTAAAGTGCTGCTCATATTGATTAAAGTGCTACTCATATTTATTAAAGTGATAAAGTGATTATTTACATCAAAGTGCTATTTATGTACATTAAAGTGAACCTGTGTTTATTATATACATTAAAGTGCTTCTTATATTACTTAAAGTGATACTTGTGCTTTTATTTACACTAAAGTGCTAACCATGAATTAAAGTGCCACTTGTGAATTAAATAGATATCTATATGCATAACAGGCTATTTTAAATTGAATATGCTCGATCTAATATTTATGTTAATCTTATAAGTACTAATTAAATGTAATATTATTTATTTTTATTATCAATTTTCTAACTTTGATTATATAGCTCTCATATTTAACTGTATCTTAATTCAACATATTCAATACTTCTTGTGCTAAAAATGAAGTCTCAATATGGTCAAAGTCTTAAACTCCAAGAGGTCGATCCTTATAAGGCAACTCATATAAACGGGTAATAAGATATCATTTCATTAAGTCCACGGGGTGCAACTGTATCCAACTCCTGTATCCAAAATGTTTCTCTTCTTAACAATGTATTTCCTCGGTTTCCTCCTCTTCTGGACAATGGTATATAGTCTATTGCTACAAACTTTAAAGGACCACTATAGTGTCAGGAAAACATACTCGTTTTCCTGGCACTATAGTGCCCTGAGGGTGCCCCCACCCTCAGGGACCCCCTCCCGCCCGGCTCTGGAAGGGGGAAAGGGGTAAAAACTTACCTTTTTCCAGCGCTGGACGGAGAGCTCTCCTCCTTCTCTCCTCCTCCGTTCCGCCCTGTCGGCTGAATGCGCACGCGCGGCAAGAGCTGCGCGCACATTCAGCCGGTCGCATAGGAAAGCATTTACAGAAAATCACAGTGAGAAGCACGCAAGCGCCTCTAGTGGCTGTCAATGAGACAGCAACTAGAGGATTAGGGGGAAGGCTTAACCCATTAATAAACATAGCAGTTTCTCTGCTGTGCATAAGTAAACCTAGTTGACAGGGTGCCGGTAGCCATATCGGGTAACCCTGGCAACGGTCGGTGACGTCAACACGCTACTTCCGGGTTGTGACGTGTTTGCAGATGCGCAGAAAGAATGGAGAGATGCCGGGGAAGCAGCGATAAAGGTGGTGAGTGATAGTATGATTGAATAATTGGTTTGTTCAGCTATAAATACATCATGTAGTAAATGTATTTTTGCTGAACTGATCCTGATGAAAGCCACGGACGATGGCTGAAACGTTGATTCTAACAGAAATTATGTTTTAAGAGATATGGAATAAAGAAAGAAAACTTTTATACAAGAAAAAGACCGTGAGTGCAAGCCTTCATTTACTATTTTCTATGATATTTGACTTTGGCTGGAATGCACCCGGCATTTGAATAACTTGAAAGAGTGTGTGCAGGGATAAAAAGGAATATATATATGTATATATATATATATACACACACACACACAGTGTTACGCATAAATGCACATATACACAGTCACATGTTCTGCATTCAACAGCTCAACAAAATAAATGCCGTGGTGCTGTTTTGACCAAATAACTATCCTTCAAGGAAGCACTGAATGGGCTAGCAATAATATTCAAATGCATGATATTTTATTGATCTTTAATCGTGGTTAACTTTCATTCCCATACACTGACTTTTTCAAGACAAATGGATACAGAGAAAAGGTGTTTAACTAGGCCGGGAAACGAAAGAGAGTGTTGGATATAGGGGCTATAGCCGCTATGAACATGAAACAGAGGTTTGAAAGCCAAGCATCCACAGTAGGAAACAACTTGAAATCAGGTAACCATAACAACCAAGAATGAAAATGAGACTCTGTGCACTTACAAGTAAATAAATAGCACATTGTGGGTAAATTGGTAAACCACTGTGTCAGAGAGATACAGATAATTTTCAAGGTTTGAACCTTAACAAACTTCAGCATACCTTACAATGTTTCCAAAATGCAATTTAAGGGACACTCTAGGCAACGTGTCTGCTTCATTTCAATAAACTGGTAATTATTATTATTTTCATTATTATTTATATAGCGCCAGCAAATTCCATGGACCTGTACAATGGGTAATAGTGTTAGGAGTTCCCTAGTTCTGTAATTTCATTAGGCATTAGACGTTTTTAATGTTTTTATGTTTTAATATGAAATGAGAGTCTCCAGCAGCCCATTCCATCTTTCCTGCTTTGACTATGAGGAAGTATTAGCTTGAGCAGCAATGGGCAGCTGTGCTTGACTGAGAGTGTCAGCTGACTGCTTTTAGCCTATCTGAGCTGTAACTGATGTATGAATGGGTATAACGACAAGGAAGTGTGTAATCTCTGCCTTAGCCACACCTCTAGAAGGGGCCGGACTGTGGGCTCTAAAGCAGATAAACACTGAATAGAGGGACAATGCCAGAGGAATCCTGACAATATGATCTATTCAAACATAAAATTATTATAGTGGCTACAGTGTCCATTTAGGCATTTTAGTTTATCAAGTATGGAAAAAAAAAACAATGTGCAAATAAAAGTGAGTGAATAGCTCTGTGGTAAACCGTATTGTTCCAGAGAAATATGTTACAAAAGTATTAACATTGTTTAAACCATAACTAAGAGTACAACACTATAAGCAGTCCTGGGTCACATCATCGCCTAAAAAAATGTAAGTTTTATGACTGAACCTCAATGAACCAGTCTCCAGGTTGAAAATCCATCGTGCCTCTTTCCACAATAATTCAGTGTCTCTATACCCACCATGGGTCAAGGGAGGCACCCAGTCTATCTCCATAAATTTAAGTGGAAAAAGAGGATGAACAGCCTCCAAAAAACCTCGCTACCCGAGGACTCTAGAAGTAAGCATGATTGGCCCCAAAACATTATGCCTGGTAGATAAGGGCAAAATATTGATACCCCACCTGCACCAAAGCACACTGCCTAACATCTATTTAGATATATGAACATACACGCATGCATTACTAGTCACATACACATATAGAAATCACTACACCAGTCACCCTACTTGCAAACACTCCTAAACAGCAACATGCTCACACATGCTCACCATAGGGACCGACATTTGTAACGGTTACCTGCTATTAACATCTTCTTTACAGACAGGCCAACATGAGGAATTGCTGGCAGTTTGTAACCGTTCCCTTTGAAATCCCACCATTAGGACACAGTGACAGTTTGTTACAGTTACCTCTTTATAACATCTTATCACACACAGCCGACATGCCAAGTCACAAGACATCATTGTGTGACCCATGATCTGCATTGTAGTAAAACAGTGAACATTGCCTTTAGGATAACTGACAGTCTGAAACTCCCAGAAAATTCACCCAAATTTAAGATAATTTTGGGCCATTTATTAGTTTCAGCAAAATCAGTTCTTCCTCGTTACTGGAAATCAGATATTGTACCATCAATAATAAATACAAAAAACTGTGAGAAATAGGCGCTTATAAACTCTTATAGAATACAGAACCCAATTAGGATAAGCAGCTTAACACACGTGCCAATACCTCTAAACTTAGCACAAAAACATGCAGGCGTACAGAGTAGTTTGAGTGAGAGAAAAGACTATCACATCAGAAAACCCAGTGGAGCGCTATATTAAATGGACTTACCCTTAAAATAAGGGATACAAAATATATAATACGACAAATATCTGGAGAAAGAGATAAATAGGGAGATAATGGTGCAATATGTCTAATACTCATAAATGGTGGATTAAAAACCAAATATAACAAACTCACATGGCTTAGAGCCTGGGAGGATAGGCTCAAGTGACACACGCAGGGGTATTTAAAGACAATACCAGGCTTCTTCTATAGTAGTATCCAGGTCCTCAGAGAGAAGAGACAAAAATGGAACAGACTCCTAGTGTATTACCCTTTCAAAAGTATATCACAAATCAAGTTTTTGCAAATAATTGCTCACCTTGTTGAGAGCCAAAGGAAACTGGGCTCTCAGTATAATAGACACTGTGCCTTTAAGAGGGCACAACTCTTCTTTTAAAGCAGGAAGAAGATGCTGCAGCACATAGGACTCAATTTAAAAAATAGAAACACTTCATTATAAAATATAATAAAATACCATCTAATAATGGTTCTTATCAAAGTCCTTGCTGTCCGAGATGCGTTTTGCCTTATCTCCAAAAGGCTTTTGAGAAAGCTTGAGAAAGCCTTTTGGAGATAAGGCAAAACGTGTCTCGGACAGCAAGGACTTTGATGGGATATGCAGGGATATGACTTTACATCCTGACACCCTCTGCCTGTCTTTAAATATGCATTAGGGTTTATGTGAAATAACATTCCCCACTAAATTACAGTTTCTGGGTGGTGAGGAACAACTATTAAATACAATACCTAGCATCCAGATATGGAAGTGCTCTTCATTACCAATCCTCCTGACATCCTTACAGAGGGCACTACTAAACTAGGGTGGCTACTGAACTAGGAAAGACAATGTCTAGAGTAAAGGAGAAGAAAACATTAGAGGGTTACTGTAACTTTACTTAAATCATTTTAACTTTTAAACATTTAAAAAAATTAAAATGCCCTCTTGATGTCCCTCTTCCCCTCCCCTCATTTAAATGCAGCAAAAAGTGTTAATACTTACCTGTAATTAAGCCCCGGGCGAAGCTTCTGGCACTGATCTCCGTCTGACGTCACCAGGAGTGTCTGGTGGTTTAATCACAGCTTTTTCTTAAAAAAAGAGTTGACAGGCAGTGTCAAAGTCACGTGTAAAGGGTTTAACTAACTCCCAGAACACAAGTGCCAATATCTTTGTATGTACTTATAGACTTCTTCCACCATAACTACTTCAAATTACTGAAGTGGTCATGGTGGTTAATTGCTGTGGCCCATGGTGCAAGGTGGCTTAGTATTTCCCCCTCTATGTGCCATCCGAGTCCAGTAAACCCATAAGGACATTTATAGGTCTGACACTGGAAATAAAGAGAAAATATACTGATTTCACATAGAATTTCTTTGTTAGAGTAGTTATCTCCTACTCTTATGAATATGCAGACTCTTGCCTTTATACTCTGTTTTCTAGCTAGGGAGAGGCACAGATAGTTTAAGCACCGTTGTAAGGACTTAAATGCATGAGATTGTGCCAAGACATTTTAAATAGTTTTGCAGTATAATCAGCTGGTGACATATGGGCCTCAATTGTATAAGTTTGGATGAGCTTTTTATACAAAAGTTGTAATAAATAACATTATTTATTCAAAATTAAAATTTTAAATAATATATCATTTAAAAAAATAATATATCAAATAATTTTACAAAAATCATTATAAAAATGTATAAATTTTAAAAGCTTTTCCAAAAATATCAAATCAATGCCATAATTGCAGAAACAGAGGTATATTTACTAACATTCAACAGTATTTGGATGCTATTATTGACAATATGAGATGCACTGTGCCTTTAAAACCAACATCACAAAATGTACTGATGTATACCAAACATATAAAGTGCAATGTGCCTTAATGCATATGAAAACACACAAGAAAACATATAGTAGTTTTGAATTTCAGCCAGTGGTAGAACTAAAGAAGAGAGGGCCCTGGTTGAAGAATATTTTCTCTATCACAAAGATAGTATCAGTCCCACAATGTTTTGCCAGCTCTGGATCTACCATTTGCCCATCCTTGCAGGGTTGTATTTGGTACCGAGCAGTTGTTTGTGTGTTTAAATTATTATTTCTCCTGTTAAAAAGGCCAAGTTAATGTAAAAAAAATCCTGCCTCACCTTCGTTGTTTTCAGCTGCAATACTAAAAGTTACATTACTTTTTTTTTTGTAAATCTTTCTTTTACTGAAACAATGTGTTATGCGGTCAAATTCCACAGCGCTTTACAATGGGTGGACGAACAGACATGTAGTTGTAACCAAAAAAGTTGGACACACAGGAACAGAGGGGTTGAGGGCCCTGCTCAATGAGCTTACATGCCAGATGGAGTCGGGTAAAATGACACAAAATGGTAAGGATAGTATTAGACTAGTGACAGTTGCAGAAGATGAATCAGTCAGGAGCTATTAACAGTTGAATTGATAAGCTTTTATGAAGAAGTGGGTTTGTAACAATTTTTTGGGAGGAGTGAAGACTGGGTGAGCATCTAACGGAGGAGGGAAGAGAGTTCCACAGCAACGGTGCAGCCCTCGAGAAATCTTGAAGGCGAGCATCAGAGGTGGGAGTACGGACAGAAGATAGACGTAAGTCTTCAGCAGATCGTAAGGGCCTAGACGGGACATACTTGTGTATAAGGGAGGATAGACAGGTGGGAGCAGCACTATGTAGAGATATGAAAGCAAGAACCAGAATTTTAAATTGAGCTCTATAGTTTATAGGAAGCCAATGTAGGGACTGACAGAAGGGTGAGGCATGGGAGGTGCGGGCGGACAGGAAGATGAGCCTCGCTGCCGCATTCATTATGGACTGTAACGGCGCAAGTTGGGAGCATGTAAGACCACTGAGAAGCAGATTACAGTAGTCAAGGCGAGAAAGGACAGTGGAATGGACCAACACCTTAGTCGCATCTGGCATTAAGTAGGGGCAGATGCACGCAATGTTTTTGAGATGGAAATGACAGGATTTGGCGATAGATTGAACATGAGGCTTGAAGGAGAGGTAGGGGTCAAAGAGAACACCTAGGCAGCGAGCCTGCGTGGTGGAGCTGATGGTAGCACCGTTGACTTGGAGGGAGACAGACACAGGAGTAACAACACTTTAGGGAGGAAAGACCAGAATTTCAGTTTTGGTCAAGTTTAGTTTGAGGAAGTGGGCAGCCATCCAGTTAGAAACAGCAGAGAGGCAGTCAGAGACACTAGTCAAGAGGGACGGGGAGAGATCAGGAGAGGACAGGTAGATTTAAATTTAGTTTAAATGTAAGCATGTGTTTGTATGGAGTATGTGTGTGTGAATATAGGAGTGAATTTGTGTGTAGCATTGTGTGTTTTTATGTACTGTTGTTAAAGTTTAGTAAAAGAAGCACAGATGCACAGATTTACACACTGATGCCCATGCAAATACACAGACAAAACTAACACACATATAGATATTCGCATACAGATACACAGACACACAGATACACACATGCAAACAGGGCCGGTGCAAGCATTTTTGCCAGCCTAGGCAAAAAAATATTTTGCTGCCCCCTCTCATACAGACTAATACACACGCTGACTCAAGTATAAACAAACACTGATCCATGCAAACTAACGCACACGCACTGACCCATATACAAACTCTGACCCATGCAGGGACACATATACAGACATACACTGACCGATATAGACACACACTGACCGATATAGACACACACTGACCCATACAGCCAAACACTGACCCATACAGACAAACACTGACCCATACAGACACACACTGATCATTGCAGACACACACTGACCCATACAGACTGACATACACAAACATACTGACTGAAGCAGAATAACACACATTCTCTGACACACATCTTAACTCCAATGCTGCTCCTATGCTCATCTTGCCTGTGCCTGGCGGTCCATCACTTCCTTTGCTATCCTCCCATCCTATCCTCTGCTATCCTCCCATTCTCCCACTCCCACCCACTTGTCCCAACGTACAGGGGAAGGGGCGGGGACGAGCAATTGAAGCGCCCTCGCGCTGCTTTGGCATTGGATGCCTGGGAGGGGGCCTGGCTCTTAGGGCTGACATGGATGCCACCGGATCGGTGATCTACGGGGCGCTAGTGAGCAGCAATGTAAGTGCTCCCTAGCTCCCAGTAACATGGCCGGCGGCACGGTCAAAATAATAGAGGGGTGGCTGCGGGCCGGCACAAACTTGATCATAAAGTCAGAGCCGGCGCCCCCTCTTAAGCAGCGCCCTAGGCGTCCGCCTAGTTGGCTTATAGGAAGTGCCGGCCCTGCATGCAAATTCATACACACTAACACACATACAGATACACAGAAACCCACTGACGCCCATGCAAATATGCACACACCTACACAGTGACACACATGCAGACACACACACACACACAGAATGACACCCATTCAGATACACAGCACACAGATACACATACAGACACACAGATAGATACACATACAGACACAAATGAAAAATGTAGATTTTTAGCCACCCTCCTGTTTCTTACCTAGGGTGCAGGAGGATGGCTTCCCTGGGATGCAGTTGACTGCCTGAAGCTTACTGGAATTGGAGTCTCTCCCAGTCCGCTCTCCCTCTCTCTGCCTTTCCCGTGCAGTCCTTTGTGTTAACTTGGAGGAAGTAACCGTCTGTCACTTCCTCCCAGCGGTGACATCATCACAGGGGCCCGGTCAGTGCAGCACTGAAGTCACATTACCATCAGGTGAGCATAACTTAATGGGTCACACGATGGGCCCCCTTAACACGCGGCCTTGGTGCAACACCATATATTCACATGGCCTTTAATCTAAAATTCACTTTAAATTTCCAACTGGGTGGACATGGGTCTACAGAACAACTCCATACCCTCAAAAATACATGGCATCACAAGTTGCTCTGTCCTTTGGCTCATAATGCTACACTAATTCCCAAGTGTAGCAGGTAGAAGTGAATGAAAAAGCTCTACACAGTCAATAGGAAATAATTAATGCAGTTTGCTTGGCTGGACTTCCTCTGCATTAAATATGTTATTTTATTATTATTATTAATATTATTGTCACGTTTCCTTGTGCTTTTTATATATATATATATATATATATATATATATATATATATATACACATACATACACACACACATTTTCTTTCTGGACAGAAGATAAAAATCTATTGAACATATTTCTATATGGTATTAAACCATTTATTTTCTGGATTATATTTTCATACCTCCCGCAGATTGGGATGGGAGCTGATGAGTGACATAATGTGCAAGCCAGCGCACTGAAGCGGCTTGAAAGCACATTTTTTAAGAGTAGTCTATCAGCTCTTTCCTTTCAACCTTCCTCTGCTATCTCCCACCTACTGTGCCCCCTCCCCCCAACAAACCCTCCCATCCTTCAGGCCTATACAGATCATTTGATTCCTTCACTACCCTTTGTGTAGTTGTCCTTTATCTCTTTAGATTGTAAGTTCTATGGGCAGGGCCCTCTTCACCTACTGTTCCTGCATGTCAAACCTGTTTTTTAGAATTAAAAGTTTGTCTTGTTTACCTACTGTACAGCGCTGCAGAATATGTTGGCGCTACATAAATAATTGTAATGGTAATTGTAACATTTGGGTGAATGTGTGTTTATCCTCCCATAAAACGCTATGGGAAATGGAAAGTAATGACTCAATCTATTCATGCCTATAGTTTCTCCTGTTAAAAAGGCCAAGTTAATGTAAAAAAAATCCTGCCTCACCTTTGTTGTTTTCAGCTGCAGCACTAAAAGTTACATTACTTTTTTTTGTACATCTTTCTTTTATTGAAACAATGTGTTATGCGGAACAGAATGCCAACAAAAGTAAAGGAGTTAGTGCATATGACAAGATTTTAATCATACAGTTGATAGATATACTCCTGGATAATCTGTCTAATTTTTTACCTATAGTAAACATGCTAGTCTAACTAGGAACAACTGGCTATACTATAGAATGCTGTATAAGAATTAAGAGGCAATTCAGCACAGTTTATAATGTAAAATAGTAGAGTAATGTTTACATAGTACAAATTGAGTTGAGGATTACGCTATGCTGGCTCTTTGTACTGTGAGTGGTGATCACCATGCACGTAGTGGGTAAATATACGCAGAATTAACATTCAGCATGGTATGTAGCTTAATTTAAGAATGGCAGTTACATGCGCCAAGAGTGAGTTATAACATGCTGACTTCAACCTGTAATGCACGCTATATATACCACTGGAGTCTGGTCCAAGAACTAAAAAATTGCATAACATGCTAGGTCAAATTACTCATTCAGCAATGTTTGGCATGAGAGTGGAGTAAAATTATAAGTGAATAGGCAGAAATAAAATAAAATATACTCTTCCTCAGCAAAGAATTAAGGGTTTCTTATCGGGTATGTCCAATTACTCGGTATCTCCTATGAATAATGAGGAGCCCCGGTTGCAGGTTTGGTTACCCGGTCAGCCGATCCCCAACAGCAGTAGAGGTATTACAAGCGTAGGGAAGTCCCAATGAGCATCTACCAAAGTGTAGTGGTATTGAGTTCTCCTCCAGCCCCGCGCCTGTGTGAGGGTAAGTATCAGTAGTCTGCGGTCTTGGGTGCTCCTCGGGACCAAGCCCTTCCCCTGACTGGGATATGCAGAGGGTCCACGGCGGGTGTTTCTCCGCTTGTGCGGCAGATGCAGGGAGGCAGTGCTTCGAAGTGCATTCAGCCCTGGAGGGTGAACAGCATGGTGAGTATTCGGTTGTGCGGGTTGATTGTCGGGAACAGTCGAGGGGGGGGGGGGCGACATGTATGAGAGATTTTCCTCCAGCTCCAGGCCTTTTGGAGAGCCGACATCCTCTGTCCATGGACTCGGTACCTGTGTACGACTAAGTCCTGGCCCCTCAAGTTGGAAGAACGATGTGGTATCCGCCACCAGCAGCATGCGATCTTCCCCGTGTGGTCAATGTCTCGACGTCATGCCTCTAGTGGCTTTCGGCCTAGGCGGACGGTCGTTGGTGCGGTGAGGCATGTGGGTGAGTATGTTGCCCAGAGGGTTCTTTCTCATCGCCCTCCATGATCTGTTCTCTGGTTGGACCGAAAGGCAGTGGAACGTGCCTGTAGCTTGTCCCAGAAGGCCTGGAATAATAATAATTATTATTATGTTATTATTTATATAGCACCAACAAATTCTGCAGGGAGTACGGACAGAAGATAGACCTAAGTCTTCAGCAGAGCGTAAGGGCCTAGACAGGACATACTTGTGTATTAGGGAGGATAGATAGGTGGGAGCAGCATTTTGTAGAGATTTGAAAGTAAGAACCTGAATTTAAAATTGAGCCCTATATCTTACAGGATGCCAATGTAGGGACTGACAGAAGGGTGAGGCGTGGGCAGTGTGGGCGGACAGGAAGATGAGCCTCGTCGCCGCATTCATTATGGACTGTAACAGTTGGGAACACGTAAGACCACTGAGAAGGAGATTACAGTAGTCAAGGAAAGAAAGGACAGTGGAATGGACCAGCACCTTAGTCGCATCTGGCGTTAAGTAGGGTCGGATGCGTGCACTTTTTTTGAGATGGAAGCGGCAGGATTTGGCTAAAGACGGAACATGAGGCGTAATGGAGAGGTGGGAGTGAAATAGAACACCTAGGCAGCGAGCCTGGGTGGTGGAGCTGCTGGTAGCACCATTGACTTGGATGGAGACAGACACAGGAGTAGCAACACTTGAGGGAGGAAAGACCAGAATTTCAGTTTTGGTCAAGTTGAGTTTGAGGAAGTGGGTAGCCATCCAGTTAGAAATAGCAGAGAGGCAGTCAGATACACTAGTCAAGAGGGATGGGGAGAGATCAGGAGAGGACAGATAGATTTGCATGTCATCCGCATAGAAATGATATTGGAAGCCAAATGAGCTAATGAGTTTACCAAGGGAGGCAGTATAGATGGAGAACAGTAGGGGACCAAGGACTGAACCTTGGGGGACACCAACAGAGAGGAGTTGGGAAGAAGAAGTAGAGCCAGAGAAAGAAACACTGAAAGAGTGCTGGGAGAGGTAGGAGGAGCACCAGGAGAGAGCCATATCTTGTAGACCGATATTGTGGAGGATGAGAAGAAGCTATTGATGATCAACAGTGTCAAAAGTCGCAGAAAGGTCAAGGAGAATTAGGATAGAGTAGTGACCGAGATTTTGCAGCGAGTAGATCATTGGATACTTTGGTCAGTGCCATTTCTACAGAGTGCTTAGTGTGGAAACCAGACTGAAGCGGGTCTAGCAGAGAATTGTACTCGAGGAAATTTGTCAGTCTCGCATACACAACTCTTTCAAGGATCTTAGATGCAAAAGGCAGTAGCGAGATACGATGGTAGTTGGATGGGGAGTTAGGGTCAAGGTTGGGCTTCTGTAGAATTGGGGTTATAGTTGCATGTTTGAAGGGAAAACATGCCAGAGGAGAGAGAGAGATTGAGAGATTGAGAAATTTAGTGAGTGGTTGTCAGGTTACCTTTGGTGTCTACCTCGGAGGAGGCTAGACACCTAGACGTCCATCCTCCTAGGGGGGCTGACTCACCCGATCCGTACACTCCTCCCGGCCGTTTACACGCCGGCCGCGATAGCTCCGCCTCCTTTTATGACGCGGCGCTCAGTAGCCGACGTCATGACGGCAATCACGTTCCGACCCGTCAATCACGGCAACCAAGTCCCGAACAACGAATCAGGACTCATTGGGGGCGGAGCCAACAGTTAAAGAGCCAAGGTATAAAAAAGGGTTCTGTGGAATGATTCATTGCCCTGTCGTGGTTCTAGCTAGTCTGGTCACTCAGTGCAATTACCTCTATTGTCTTTTGGTTCCTGACTCGGCTTGTATTTTGACCCTGCTTTCCTCTCTTGTCCTTTTGACTCGGCTTGTCTCTCGCTTACCTGATCTCTCGTTCCCTCGACCTCGGCTTGTCTCTGACCATTCTTTTGCTTTCTCCTTACGTTAGTCCGGCCATTCTAAGGTCCGGTATACGTACCTATCTCCTGTTTGTATTCTGCGTGTTGGATCCCTGTCACGATCCTGATATTACGACAGGGCCAATGTATCCTGCAGGTACAAACTCTCAGGTCGGTTCTCCTGACTCTAGATTTGAGGCCATGAATCATAGAATGGACCAGATGGCTCTAGCTCTGCAAGCATTGCTATCTCGTCCTAGTAATCACTCAGAGGAGATGCGTACCCCATCTATCTCTCCTATAAGTACAGGCCTAGAGGTAGCCACAGTGGCTACTTCTTCCCGTGTTACGTCCCCGTCACGCTATGGCGGCGCTCCTGACACTTGTCGAGGTTTTTTAAACCAGATAGGTATTCATTTTGAGTTACAACCCCACGCCTACCCTACTGACAGGGCGAAGGTTGGATTTATAATCACCTTGCTCATTGACAAGGCACTTAGATGGGCTAACCCCCTGTGGGAAAATGATAACCCGTTAGTTTACAATTATAATGCTTTTGTCGCTGCATTTAGGAGAGCTTTTGACCCCCCAGGAAGAAAGGCCAATGCAGCTAGACTACTGTTACGTCTTAGACAGTATAACCGAACCCTCGTGGATTATGCATTAGAGTTCAGATCCTTGGCGGCAGAAGTCAAGTGGAATGAACAGGCTTATATGGACGTATTTATGAACGGGTTATCTGATGAGATTTTGGATGAGGTTGCCACAAGAGATCTTCCTGAAAATTTGGAGGATTTGATTTCATTTATTTCCCGAATAGATGAACGTATGAGACAGAGGCAGAATATTCGGGATAGAACCCGCAGGTCCTCCATAAGACTAGCTCCCTCATTTCAGAGTTCTGATTCTACTACTTTAGCTCTCCCAGAACCTATGCAAATAGGTAATACTCGACTCTCAGAAGAGGAAAGACAGTACAGGAGAAGGGAGGGGCTTTGTATGTATTGCGGAATTAGAGGTCACCTACGCCTAAATTGCCCTAACCGGCCGGGAAACGCCCGCACCTAAGTTTCTCAAGAGGACAGGCCTTGGGTGTTTCTATCTTGTCCTCTATATATGATTATAAAGATCATAGGCTTCTGATACCTGTTTCTTTAGCTTGGGAAAAGGGAGTACTTAATGCTATGGCTTTGATAGATTCCGGAGCAGCTGAAAGCTTTATTGACCAAGCCTTTGTCACTAACCATTCTATCCCATCTCAGCTAAGGGATACACCCTTGGCCGTTGAGGCCATAGATGGTAGACCATTATCTGAACCTGTTATTTTTCGTGAAACCATACCAACTAAGTTAACCACTGGTATCCTTCACGAGGAAAGAATATCCCTCATGCTGATCTCATCTCCTTCAGTTCCTATAGTCTTGGGGTATCCCTGGCTTAAGAAGCATAACCCTATCATTGACTGGGAACTGGGTGAGATAGTCTCCTGGGTTCAAGGTTGCCAGAGAGGATGTTTACAGAAAGTCTCACCGATTTGCATGGTTGACGCCCCGGTTAACTCTTCCCAATCTACAGATTTACAGATACCGTCTCAGTACCTGGATTTAAAGGCAGTCTTTGACAAAAAGAGGGCTGATACTTTACCTCCACATAGGTCTTTCGACTGTAAAATTAGACTCCTACCTGGTACTATGCCTCCGAGGGGTACGGTATATCCTTTATCCACTAAGGAAAACTTAGTCCTAGAGGAGTACATACGTGAAAACCTAGACAAAGGATTTATTAGGAGATCTTCTTCTCCGGCCGGGGGCCGGTTTCTTTTTTGTAGATAAAAAAGACGGCACTCTACGGCCTTGCATTGATTATCGGGGCTTGAATAAGATAACTATTAGAAATGCTTATCCTATTCCTTTGATTACTGAGCTCTTTGATCGACTGAAAGGCTCCAAGATTTTTACCAAGTTAGATCTGAGGGGAGCTTATAACTTGGTGAGAATTCAGCAGGGAGACGAATGGAAAACAGCTTTCAATACCCGTTATGGCCACTATGAATACACGGTAATGCCCTTCGGGCTTTGCAATGCACCTGCAGTATTCCAGGACCTTATTAATGAGGTTCTTAGGGAATTTCAGCATGAATGCGTTATAGTATATTTGGATGATATACTAATACACTCTAGAGAGATTGAGACTCACCACAGACAAGTCAGAAGGGTACTGCGCAAACTGTTACAACATGGATTGTACTGCAAATTGGAGAAGTGTAGCTTCGACCAATCTCAGATAAACTTTCTTGGCTACGTTATTTCTGGAGACGGATTTAAGATGGACCCCATTAAACTCCAATCGATTTTAGATTGGCCATTGCCCAGGGGACTCAAGGCCATTCAGAGATTTATCGGATTCTCCAATTATTATAGGCGCTTCATTAAAGGTTACTCTTCTATTATTGCTCCTATTACCAATATGACTAGACAGGGTGCTGATACCAAGACTTGGTCTACAGAGGCTCTCTCTGCTTTCAAAACACTCAAAGAACATTTTGCCTCAGCACCGATATTAGTTCATCCTGACACATCTTTGCCTTTTCTACTCGAGGTAGACGCCTCGGAGACAGGTATAGGCGCTATCTTGTCCCAAAGGCTAGGTTTGGATAAACCGTTACATCCATGTGGTTTTTTTTCCAAGAAATTATCTGGGCCTGAAAGTAGATATGACATTGGTGATAGGGAACTGTTAGCGGTCATTATGGCTTTAAAGGAATGGAGACATTTGTTGGAGGGGACATTATACCCGGTTACTATTTTGACGGATCACAAGAATTTGTCCTATATAGGGGAGGCCAAGCGCTTGTCCGCCAGGCAAGCTCGTTGGTCCTTGTTTCTGACACATTTCAATTACGTGCTCACTTATAGACCTGGTTCTAAGAACTCTAAGGCAGATGCATTGTCCCGCCAACATGAACCTTCTACGGTGTCTGAAGCAGCTTTGTCTTCTATCGTTCCCAAGTGTAATATTATTGCCAACACGTGTGTTAGGATACACTCGCCGTTGCTTGCTGAAATCAAGAAAGTACAACATCTAGCTCCCAAACCTGTTCCTGGGGCTCGATACTTCGTTCCTCCTGAGCTCCAAGTGGAACTGCTGCATTGCTTTCATGACAGTAAAATTGCTGGGCACCCCGGCATACGCAAAACGTGTTCCCTGATTTCTAAAGATTTCTGGTGGCCTTCCCTTCGTAAGGATATAAGGGATTTCGTCGGGGCATGTGCTGTCTGTATGAAGACTAAGCAACCTCATGCGCTCCCTTGTGGACTTTTGCACCCCTTAGAAATTCCCGAGAGACCATGGTCATGTTTGGCTATGGACTTCATTGTCGATTTGCCTGTTTCTAAAAAACATACTGTTATTCTCACGGTGATTGACAGGTTTACTAAAATGGCTCATTTCGTGCCCTTGCCTAAACTGCCCTCGTCTCCCGAATTAGCTGAGATATTCGCGAGGGAGATTTTTCGTTTACATGGTATTCCCTCTGAAATTGTTTCTGATAGAGGTTCCCAATTTGTTTCCCGCTTTTGGAAGTCTTTCTGTTCTCACTTAGGCATCAAGTTGAATTTCTCATCTGCCTATCATCCCCAGTCCAACGGAGCTGCCGAACGCACCAACCAAAAGATTGAACAATATTTGCGTTGTTTTGTTTCTGAACACCAGGACGATTGGGTTGGTCTGATTCCTTGGGCAGAGTTTGCACACAACAATCTCGTTTGTGATTCTACTCGTTCTAGCCCCTTTTTCTTGAATTATGGCTTTCATCCTTCCATTCTTCCGTCGGTTTCCCCTTCCCAAGGGGTTCCGCCGGTTGATGTTCATGTCGCCAATCTGAGAAAGTTGTGGGATCAGACTCGACGAATTCTTCTTCAGAATTCCATGGTGTTCAAACGACACGCTGACAAACGGAGACGGGTGGCTCCGGTTTTTGCCCCGGGTGATAAGGTGTGGTTGAGTACCAGAAACATCCGCTTGAAGGTTCCTTCCATGAAATTTGCCCCTCGCTACATAGGCCCTTACAAGGTTCTGTGTCGGATTAACCCGGTTGCGTATCGTCTTGCCCTTCCGCCTGCCCTGCGCATCCCTAACTCTTTTCATATTTCTTTGTTGAAGCCTTTGGTTTGTAACAGATTTTCCTCCGCTGAGTCCTCCCCTCTCTCTGTCCAGGTTGAGGGTCAGGAGGAATATGAAATCAAATCCATTCTCGATTCTCGTATTTCTCGGGGGAAGTTGCAATATCTTGTTGACTGGAAGGGGTATGGGCCTGAAGAAAGGTCTTGGGTGGTCCATGAAAATGTGCATGCCCCTCGTCTCCTCCGGGCATTTCATGCTCGTTTTCCGTCCGCCCCGGTTCCTTCCGCCCGGTGGGCGTTTCTGAGAGGGGGGGTACTGTCAGGGTACCTTTGGTGTCTACCTCGGAGGAGGTTAGACACCTAGACGCCCATCCTCCCAGGGGGGCTGACTCACCCGATCCTTGCACTCCTCCCGGTCGTTTACACGCCGGCCGCGATAGCTCCGCCTCCTTTTATGACGCGGCGCTCAGTAGCCGACGTCATGACGGCAATCACGTTCCGACCCGTCAATCACGGCAACCAAGTGCCGAACAACCAATCAGGACCCGTTGGGGGCGGAGCCAACAGTTAAAGAGCCAAGGTATAAAAAAGGGTTCTGTGGAATGATTCATTGCCCTGTCGTGGTTCTAGCTAGTCTGGTCACTCAGTGCAATTACCTCTATTGTCTTTTGGTTCCTGACTTGGCTTGTATTTTGACCCTGCTTTCCTCTCTTGTCCTTTTGGCTCGGCTTGTCTCTCGCTTACCTGATCTCTCGTTCCCTCGACCTCGGCTTGTCTCTGACCATTCTTTTGCTTTCTCCTTACGTTAGTCCGGCCATTCTAAGGTCCGGTATACGTACCTATCTCCTGTTTGTATTCTGCGTGTTGGATCCCTGTCACGATCCTGATAGTGGTATAGAAAGAGAAGAAGACAGAGTACGCATGAGATGCGAGGGAATTGGATCTAGGTGGTGGGGCAGGAGGACAGGAACAGAGCAGAAACCTCTTCCGCTGTAGTGGGTATGAATGGACATAGTACAGCAGAGGGAGTGAGGTTAGGGGAAGTATTGTAAGGGGAAGAAGAAAGATGAGATCTCTTCCCTGATTGTAGAGATTGCAAAATCTGAGGCAGTCAAGTTAGTAGGTGGAGGAGGAACAATAGGGCGAAGGAGAGAGTTAAATGTTTGAAATATGCTTTTTCATATATATTTTTTTGTTTTTTACTCAAAAATAATACCTGCTGATTTTTCTTGATATGGAAATTTTAGTTGTTGTCTCAGGAGACAATGAACAGATATCTCTTTATTTGTAACTTAATTACCAAGTGTAGATTGCAGTTCAGTTGTAGGTAATTGAAGATTATGCTAGCTTTAGTGTACTAATAATCTTAATGCAAAATACTCGCCTCCTGTCCTTATTAAAATTAACTCTCTTTACTAAACTCCATAGCAGTAAAGGAAAACGTAAAGAGTAACAATAAATCAATGAGCAGCATAGTCTATATAAGGGTCATGCTGCCTGTACACTTCCACTTTCTTTAAGCGACATCCAAGTCCTGGCTGAACTCGAAAACAACCAGAAAACCCAAAAAAACTAGTAGAAGTGTCCTCTGGGAAGCGCTGAACTTGAGGAGACTCCTGACCAGTGAAACTAGGAACAAGATACAAACAAAGTCCTCAGCCAATCAAGCGGAGTCGTGAGAGATCCCGAAACGGCATCCATTGGAGGTCCTGAAGAGGGTTACACTGAAAGGAGAGTATAAAATAGGTTAGGTACTGAATCATAACTGGTCAAGCATGCTTTCAAGAAGAAATTAATACAGAGCAGATGACAAATATTATTATAAAATAAAACATGCCCCTGAAAACGTTATAATGTCAGGTCTCTATGACAAGTGCGAACCAGAATAGACCACAATATGATAAGGTAGGAAAACAACGAATTTAACCAGAACATTTAACATCCGTCACCTCGAGATCCACCCCCCCGAGGTGTCAGGGGAGGGAACAGAAGGGAGGGAAAATACTCGCCTCTTGTCCCTATTAAAATTAAGATTATTAGTACACTAAAGCTAGCATAATCTTCAATTTTATAACATGACAGGAGGCTTCCTATTTTGCACTTTTAACACTGAAGTAGAGATATCCCAGCAGAAGGAGGAGAGCGGAAATAGAAGGTATGAAAGGTAGATTCCCTAGATCAATCCGCCGCCCGAAGAATATCCGACAAAGACGCCCCCGCTAGGAAGGCTGAGGAGGCTGCCGCTCCGCGCACGGAATGAGCGCCGAAAGAGGGGTCTATACCGGCGAGAGAGAGGATCCAGCGAATCCATCAAGCTAGCGTGGTGACAGACCGGAGCATGGGGACGAACGTAGGACACAAGGAGTTGACCCGACGCCGAGTTTCGAAGAGGGGAGGTAACCGTGATGTATCTGCGAAGAGTAGATACCACACAAAGCTAACAGATCCAGGTGAAAAGGACCCCTCCGGGCTGCGATGGCCCGGAATACTCTCGTGTCCAGCTTCCAGTCACTGACGTCCCTCCAATGACGGGAGAACCAGTCCGCCGTGAGATTGATCTCTCCGGGGAGGTATTCGGCCTGGAGTGCGATGTTGCGGGGGAGACAAAACTCCGGAAGGGAAGAACGTGGGCATTCCGACCTAAGTCGGCTGCGTACCTCTTTGTCCAGAGGTTTGCGGAGCCACAGGTGCATGAACCTGGAGAGGTGCTCCGGTGGTGACCAGTCTCCTGATCTGGGATGGCGTATGTTGCGAGGTTCGAACATAGCCTGACCCGAAGAGTCTAATATGGTGTCTGAGTCAAGTGGGGGGGTCTGCGTCTGCAGGATCCTCGCTCCTCTCTGTCTGGGCCGCACCCAGGAGGGTCTCACGCATAAAAGCGTAGATAGACTTATCGTCCAAACCCCAAGCGTCATAGTCAGTCAGATAGGTCTGCCTGCCACTCGTCTAGAACTGACATGGAGTGTGACAGTTCTTGGTCTTCGTCGGAAGAGTGATCCTGACGCGGGGCCGGGGTACTGAATTTGGAGGATTTTTTATGTTTGGCAGACGCCTTACCCTTGGCTGGTTTGGGTGTATTGTCCTTGCCTCTTCCGTGGCGTTTACTGGGACGGTAGTCCTCCCTGGCATGGTAGTCCGAGACATCGGAGTCTGACTCGTGGCGTGGGCGTCTGCGAGAAGATTTGGGTAAATCCAGAGCCGCAGCTCGCATTTTGGAAAGTGCCTTCTCCACAGAAGCAGCGACAGCTGCATTAGTCATAGCCTGGAAGTCCACAGTGGTATTCTGGGAGTCTTCAATGGTATAGGGTAGGCTTGTGATACACGTCACTGATAGGCACTATAGTAATGGCACCCAGGTCTTCGGTATAGAGCATAAGGCGTAGGGTCAGTTGATGTGGTGGTTATGGTGGATAACAACTCCATCCAGTTAAAACCCCAGCAGGGTGTAGTTGGTGACCTTAGTAAAACTGGGGCTCACCCAGTTAGAGAGAACTGCAAAAGCTAGTCTCCCAATAAGCAGCGCATTACTTAGGTACGTATAATGGGGGCTCACCCCGGTTGCACAGGGTTGGAACCCTTAAGTGCAGGTCACAAGATATACAGGCAGCAGCACTGACCTGACTGACCCAGCCAAATGAATGCAGGAATCTTCTTGGTGATGTAGCAGGCACAGAAGCACAGGAGTACCAAGGTATGGCAAAATTATATTCACAGGAACTGAAGGAGCTTTCAATAAAAGCAGGTGCTGGTAAGTATAGTAAAATACTGGTACTCACAGTATGTGAGAAGGTTCTCCACACTGAAGGAGTATAGGAGGGAATACAGTCCGTTTTTAGGCACACACGCGGTAAAACAAGATGGCCGCATGGATCTCGCGAGATGCGCGATCCAAGATGGCGGTCGCGCTTGTAGGCCGCATGCCGGGGACTAAATTTAGCCCAGTCGCGGGAGAAAAAGGCTGGCGCGTTCGATGCCGCAAACGGTCGCGGACGAGAAAGAGGGCGCCCAGAAGGCTCCCAGGTACCAGGGCAGGAGGGGGAACTGGGGGAAGCCAATAAGTAAGTGAAAAAGAGGGTCTCAGGGCCGGACAGGTGATGAGGAAGGGGGAAGGAAACCCCTATAAGGCCCAGGCAAAAACCACTGCCCAAAATGAAAAAAAACAACAATAATACAAAATAATACAGAATCATACAAGAGTAAACAGTAATAAAACTAAATAACAGACTACCACAATAAAGGTATAAGGCTCTGGGGGAGCCAAAAGTCTGACCTGTCTGCGATGGAGCAGTAAAGAAAGAGGAAGTGTACAGACAGCATGACCCTTATATAGACTATGCTGCTCATTGGTTTATTTACTCTTTACGTTTTTCTTTACTGCTATGGAGTTTAGTAAAGAGAGTTAATGCAAAATAGGAAGCCTCCTGTCATGTTATAAAATTGTCACCCTACAGTATTTCGCAGTCAAATATTTTTTTTAACAGGCCAAATTCCCCCAAACTGATATTGACAATTATCAGAATAGTTGAATCTGCATACGGATTGTGAAAACGTTTACCCAAATCAGGTGCAAATTTGAAACTTTGTAGATAACCCACTTCTATACAATTCAGTCATAATTGCTCCTTTTCTTCAAAATATCATCTGTCTGTCTGTCTCGATCAATACATTTCTGCAGACCACCATTTTTTAAAAATAATTGTAATTAATTCATCAACAACTATACTTTAAATATTATTTTAATTTCTGTATTTGTAAGGACTTCATAATTTTGCATTGGCAGAAAGATGATGCTGTAGTGTGTGGTGCCCTCTAGTGGCCAATTTTGGATTTGTAATAAAGTGAGACATGCATTAATAAGAAAGTAAATATATTATCATGGATTGCATAATGTTGTAAGACTACTAAAACATATTTACATTTCCAGGGAGGCAACCCACTCTTTTATTTCGAAAGAGTGATACATAATCATTACCTTTTTTACTGTGTTTTCATTAGACATTGTAATATATTTCACAGTGCTGGTAATTTATACATAAAATAAAGTTAGACTAATATGAAAGACATTTTATAAAAATTGCCTAATTTGCATTAGTTCTCTTTCAACAAACCCAGGATGTATCTTAATCCAGGAGCAAGATGAAAAGTTGCATATGAAAACGAAATAAATATTACTCTGCATTCACTCTTAATGGATGTCATGGAGATATTTACCTGATATCCAGTTTCAGCACTGGGGAGCAGACATATAGTCCCGATCCGCTGTGCCACTAACAATGCTGAGTTGGTAAACCAAGATAGTTTGATATCCTTAACTTGTGCATGGTGGCCAAGAAACAAGTGTAATGTACCAGTACCTCTATAGTGGAAAACATTCCATTTACTTTAAGACAAATTGCACTCACAAAAATATATATATGGTAGATACAGAAGAACCCAAGAATGCCTTTAGTGATAGTAATGGGGAGGATACAAAATGCACATAAACCATAATAAAACGCAATATAAAAAAAAATGAATAAAATTCAATAAAGTCGTACATCTTTCCAACCCATTTAATCCGCACTGTGCCAACATTTTCAGGGGAAAATAAAATGCTATATTGTCTTTCCTACCTTTGGCCCCTTATAAGGCACCCTGTGCTGATATTCAGCCAATGGATAGAAGCACAATGACGTTTTTAATGAATTAATCAATTTAGAGGAATTCCAATATTCCTTTATTCGATCATGTGCCATCAGCATCCCACACCTTGTTTCCGTTACCTTTAGAGAGGTTTCTGACATCAGGCATTCCACAGACCCGGAACCAGACAAGATACTTGTGTTCATGTTAGAAGAAATCTATGAGTTCTCAAAAAGTCTATTTAATGCTCTACATAACAGCCAACTGAGAAGAGAGACAGAAAGCTACAAATGGTTATATAAAAATGCCATAAGTACACTTTTGTCACGATTTGTTAGTGACCCAACACGCAAAGTGTAAAAGATCCAAGTGGAAGGAAGCCTTTTTATAGTCTGTATCTTTAACCACATAGCCACTCCATCAAAACATTTTAATCCAATGACGTCAGTAACATGGCGTCACGTCATAAAAGAAGATGGAGCTACGAGGGGGGAATCGGAACCGCTGAATAGATTAAAGGGACTGTGGTAAGGGTCCCTCTCCACCTGATGGACATCCCCAGGCTATGTCACAGCCTGGGCAACAAAAGGTAAGGTGACAACTTGAAATGGTTTATTGACATTAGCCCACACTAGAGGGGATAACGACCTTTAAAGGATCACTATAGGGTCAGGAACACAAACATGTTTAACACCACCATCTAGCCCCCCTGGGCCCCTCATGCCTCCATAAATATAGTAAAAACCTTACTGTATTCAAGCTAGAAGCTGTAAATCTGCATTCTGTTAGACTCAGGAAAACAAGCAGTCTGCTGACATGTGGTAGCCTGATCCAATCACAGTGCTTCCCCATAGGATTGGCTCAGACTGACAAAGAGGCAGATCAGGGGCAGAGCCAGCATGATTGAAGCACAGCCCTGGCCAATCAGCATCTCCTCATAGAGATTAATTGAATCAATGAATCTCTATGTGGAAAGTGCAATTTCTGCATGCAGAGGGAGGAGATACTGAATCACAGGTTGCTGTGCACAGTGCTGCCCTGTGCTCTGCTGACAGCAGATCTGAGTGGATGGAGGCATATTATGCCTCCATCAACTCTGAAGTCCCTCTGGTGGCATTCTGAGTGACTGCAACTGGACGTGTTCCTAGCTTTCAATGTAAACACTATTTTCTCAGAAAATACAGTGTTTACATGAGAAAGGCTACAGGGAGCTATAGTTCTGACCTGAACAACCTCATTAAACGGAAGTTGTTCAGGTGACTATAGTGTCCCTTTTAAATTCAACAGATATGTGTAGAAATAAATGTACTCTAGTCACCAGATTAAAGGCTTAATCTTTAAGTTTGTCATCATGCACCACTGTTCAATGTTCACTACTGTGATGTTTCTCCTACTATGTTTTCACATGCTGAGTACCGCTTACTATGTGATGTAATGTTTTACATTTATATGGCTATATCGAATTGCCGTTTTATATATATACAAGCGATATATAACGTTTACCTATCTGGGGCTTTGAAAGGTGTGACAATAAAAACTATTTAACACAATCTAACAATCAAACTTATTGGTGTTGATACAATACTGCCCTATGTACCTTTTGTGTCTTTTATATCTGTAGATTTCCTTTTGTTTGAAGTGTTAAATGTAGAAGATTGTCAGGAAAATTGAAATATCTACAGATTTTAGCATATAGGAGGATAATACTTTTTTCCACTGGTGTTCTAATACAGTAATGGAAAAAGTATTTGATCCCCTGCTGATTTTGAACAATTACCCACTGACAAAGAAATGGTCAGTCTATAATTTTAATGGTAGGTGTATTTTAACAATGAGAGGCAGAATAACAAAAAAAAAAAAAATCCAGAAAAACGCATGTCAAAAAAGTTATAAATGGATTTGCATGTCAATGAGTGAAATAAGTATTTGATCCTCTATCAATAAGCAAGATTTCTGGCTCCCAGGTGTCTTTTAAACAGGTAACGAGCTGCTCCTAATCTCAGCTTGTTACCTGTATAAAAGTCAGCCAGGGGCGGGCTGGGCCGGGGGGCAGGGAGGCACTTCCTGTCAGTCCGGCCGGGTACAGGAAACTGAAACTCCGCTTGGAACAGGAGTTTCGGTTTACCCGCCGGACTGATGGAAGCGCACACTGAGTGTGCACCTTCCTATCACCCGGCCGGCACCGCTGATCAGAGAGGAGCCGGGGAAGGGAGGTAGGGTGGGGAGTAAGAAGGAGGGGGAAGTAAGAAGAGGGGGAGTAAGAAGAAGAAGAGGGGAGTAAGAAGGAGGGAGATAAGAAAAAGGAGTAAGAAGAAGAAGGGGAGTAAGAAGAAGGAGGGGTAAGAAAAGGGGATAAGAAGAAGAAGGGGGTAAGAAGAAGAAGAAGAAGAAGGGAGCAAGAAGTAGTAGGAGGGGGTAAGAAGAATAAGGGGGGAGCAATAAGAAGAAGGGGAGTAAAAAGAAGGGGTAAGAAGAACAAGGGGGGAGTAAGAAGAACAAGGGGAAGTAAGAAGAACACAGGGAGGAGGGGGAGTGAGAAGAACACAGGGAGGGTGGAGGGGGGATGAGAAGAGCACAGGGTGGGTGAGTGTGAGAAGAGATCGCTAGGGGAGGGGCAGGGGAGAGCTCTAAGGGACAGAAGGGACAGTTCTATAGGACGGGGCAAGACAGGAAGCTCCTTCACACTATTCGCACACACACAATGCATCCCTACACACACAGAAACACAACATGCTTCCCTTACACACAGAGAAACACACAATGCATCCATTACACACACAAAATGCAACCCTTACACACAAAGACAATGCATCATTTGCACACATACACAGAAACACACAATGCAAACCCTTACACACACATGCAAACACACACTGCTTTTCTGACATACACACAGAAACACAATGCATCTCTTACACTCATACACACAGAAACACAATGCATCTCTTACACTCAATGCACACACATACAGACACACACCTTGCATCCCTTATGAATACAAACACAGATTCACACAATGCATCCCTTACACACAACCAGAAACCCACAAATACACACTGCTTCCACTACACACAAACACACTGCATCACCTACACAAACTGGTATCCCTTTACACTACATACCATAAGCACACATATTAGATCTTCTATAATAACACATAGCACGTCCCCTACACACTCCATTCCCTGTGAGCGAACTCATGGGTGGGTGGAACATATAAGTGGACTTATGAGTGGGCCTTATGGGCATGCTCACCGTCAGGCCCTGGGGTCCAGACCTTGAGCTGTGTAAGGGGCCCCCAAAAAATGGAGCTGCTAACAATTCTTTCAGAACATTGAATTTTGTGACCACAGTTGCAAACAGCCTCCAGAGATCATGTTCTACACCAGACCAGTGGAGCCAAACTGCAGCCCATCATCATCCTCATCTGGTTGTAAGTAGGCAATCTAGTATATTATTAGTGACACTAATCTATAATTTACCTCACATTAAAGGGACACTTAAATCATGCTGGCTTTTTAATGTAAACACACACTGTGTGCAGCACTGGCGTTAGTTAATATGGCAGATCATATGGGTGGGGCATTGTGATGTCACATGGGGGGGCGGCAAATTTTTCTTTTGTCCACGGCGGCAAAAATCCTTGCACCGGCTCTGATCCTGGGCAGGTGCACCAGTCTACTGGTGACCCACAGGAGGGGCGTGCACTGATTGCACTGCACTCTCCTCCTGCCCAGACCCGTCTTTACCGCAGTGCAAGTGCCCTCTGCCCCTAATTTACAGTGGCTCACACTCACAACAAGCAGTGCCTGGGGCCCTTTGCAGAGACGGGAACAAAGAGGTTCTGCAGCAGCTGGCCATCCTGCAAGCATTAAATTAACCAGCTGTTCCCCATGCAGCCACAGGTGGCGCTGTGCTGGGAGAGTGTGATTACTCTTCACTTCCTCCCAGCCCACAGAGCAGCGCATTGGAGAGAGAGAGGAGGAGGCATGATTTAATCTTACAACAAATCCACAAAGCAAATCTTTATAAATTGGGGGGATCAGCTCTGTTTCCACAGTTTATTGGTGTTTACTCTGATGTCTGTATTAATATTGAGGGATTTCTAAGAAGTAACATCAGTGTGTGTCAGCAGGGCGCCATGACAACAAAGGCGCCCGGCGGCCAACATAGCTCACAAGTTGGGGACACCAGCATATTAAATTTAAACGATTCGCTGGTGGTCCGCTCGTGCGCACCAGCAGTAGGTGCAGTCAGATCATATCCTCTCCCTCGTGGTTCCGGCGCTCAGTTAGTTAGTCAGAGCACAGGCTCAGAGATTCTCAGCCTGCGCTCTGACAACATTGAAAGTCAGAGCCGTGAATGAGCGGGTATGGCAAAGAGCTACTGATTAGCATAACATCAATATCAATTATAAAACCAGGAATAGGTAGGCATGGATGGTGAACTGATTTGGTGGTGCAATGGGCCACTTGACTGGTTTTGCCCCCCCAGGCCTAAGGCTGCCAGCCCTCCCCTGAAGACACCTGTCCACAGAAGCAATCAATAAAATCGGATTCCAAACTCACCACCATGGCCAATACCAAAGAGCTGTCCGAGGATGTCAGGGACAATATTGTAGACCTACACAAGGCTGGAATGGGCTACAAGACCATCGCCAAGCAGCTTGGTGAGAAGGTGACAACAGTTGGTGCAATTATTCGCAAATGGAAGAAACACAAAATAACTGTTTTGTCTCCCTCGGTCTGGTGCTCCATGCAAGATCTCACCCCATAGAGTTTCAACGATCATGAGAATGGTGAGAATAGTGAGAACTACCTGGGAGGATCTTGTTAATGATCTCAAGACAACTGGGACCATAGTCAGCAAGAAAACAATTGGTAACACACTACGCCATGAAGTAATGAAATCCTGCAGCGCCCGCAAGGTTCCCCTGCTCAAGAAAGCACATGTACGGGCCCAGTTGAAGTTTGCCAATGAACATCTGAATAATTCAGAGGAGAACTGGGTGAAAGTGTAGTGGTCAGATGAGACCAAAATCAAGCTCTTTGGCATCAACTCAACTTGCCGTGTTTGAAATAGGAGGAATGCTGCCTATGACCCCAAACATAGAGGTGGAAACATTATGCTTTATGGGTGTTTTTCTGCTATGGGGACAGGACAACTGCACCGCATCAAAGGGATCATGGATGGGGCCATGTACAGTCAAATCTTGGGTGAGAACCTCCTTCCCTCAGCCAGGGCATTAAAAATGGGTCGTGGATGGGTATTCCAGCATGACAATGACCCAAAACACACAGCCAAAGCAACAAAGAAGCGCCTCAAGAAGAAGCACATTAAGGTCCTGGAGTCGCCTAGCCAGTCTCCAGACCTTAATCCCATAGAAAATCTGTGGAGGGAGCTGAAGGTTCAAGTTGCCAAACATTAGCTTAATGACTTGGAGAGGATCTGCAAAAAGGAGTGGGAGAAAATCCCTCCTGAGCTTTGTGCAAACCTGGTGGCCAACTACAAGAAACATCTGACCTCTGTGATTGCCAACAAAGGTTTTGCCACCAAGTACTAAGTCGAAAGGGTCAAATACTTATTTCACTCATTGACATGCAAATCAATTTATAACTTTTTTGACATTTTTTTCTGCATTTTTTTTTTATTCTGTTTCTCACTGTTAAAATACACCTGCCATTAAAATTATAGACTGTTCATTTCTTTGTCAGTGGGCAAACGTTCAAAATCAAAAGGGGATCAAATACTTTCCCTCCTCACTGTACAAGATGTGGATATTCATATATTTTGTAATGTCTGTCGGATTATGTCAGTGTTTATGAGAGTACTATGTTAGTATATGTGTAAATTAGTGTTCCTGTATGCAATGTGAAATTAGGATATGAGCCCCCCATAAATTTCGTAATTTGCAATCAATTGTGAGGTGCAATTCCCATGACATCCATCCAGCCTTAAGGGCTAATTGAGCATTCTAGGAATTGTAGATAACTATACAAATGTATGTGATATACAATGCCCATGATACTGGACTTAGGAGTACTAAATCCACAATCCACAATATGCTGCATACGTTTATTAAAGGACATTCTAATCACAAATGTTTTGAGTACACTTATTTGTCAATGCTAATGTCCCTCCGTGCTGGACTGAAGATTGCTAAATGCCACACCATATTATTACATTCCTCACAATTATGTGCTTCCAACCTTCCTGTTTCATGGCAATGCTCAGTGTGCAAAGAAATGTCCTTAAATGGAATGGTGTGAGCAAGTCAGTGTTGAAGAACCTGACTGTTTTTTCAGAGCCTTCACCTCAACAACTTCAAACATCTTTGTGATGACATGTAATGTTGCCTGCAAGCCAGGATTAATCACCCAACGTCAGTGCACAATGGAAGGAATACTACACAACAGTGTTCCAACATCTAGTGAAATTTGAATGGAGGTCTTTAAAGCAACACAGAAGAGGACCAACTCCATCAATGGGAGTTAAAGTATCAACACAAGGGTGGATAAACCACAAGAGATAGGCAACATGAAGCAGATGCAAATGAGGAAGGGATGGGGATGGCCTGGATAAGAAAGGGGCTGGGTTTTCACATTAAAAGTGAAAAGTTACCAAAAATTTGGTTTGCCAAACTGGTATGCAAGCACGCCATGCTGACTGAGAGTTAATCTAAAGAGCTCTATTTGAAGAGCGGAATTTACAATAAATAGGACAATAAATGGGACAATTACACAGTGACACAGGAACAATAGGTAGATGAGGACCCTGATCAAACAAGCTGACAGTCTAGAGCAGGTGGGATACAAAAACTCCATAGGGCAGTAAGGGTGACAGCCACCAAACATGGTGGAAAAGTAGCAAGACTGGAGGTGAGAGTGGAGTGTGGCTCTTTAGTCACACAGAGCTGCCCATATGTCCATAGATTGCACTGAGTAGTGCAAACACATCTCAATGACGCACCTGTGCTGCACTTTCTGTGAACACTTCTCTGATGTCTCTAGAAACGTAACAGCAGGAAAGAATCCTAGGATGGTAAATTGGAGTCTGTCTCGCTTTACCTAGACTGTTGAGTGCTATGGATTTCAGAAACAAGTATCAGGAAGGATGATGAAGTATCCACATATGTTTTGACTTAGGTCTGTTGTTTCCCATGTAGTTTGTTCTTTTCTCTTTCACCCTGTAATCATAATTACATCACATTGAAGGGAGGAACTAAGATTGGCAGTGCAATAATTAAGAAGTCAAAAATAAAGGAAGAGATCATGAATCTGGTTGTGCAATTAAGAACTTATGTTAAAAAAAGAAAAAGTATAATAAACGTGTTCTTGAAAAAAAAAACAGTAATTGAAGTGCATTTAATGAATGATTTCAACAAATTATTTGTTATTAAATAAGCTAACATGCCTTGCAGACATCTGGTTATGTATTATACTAACAAAGCACTGAAAACTTGCCCAGTTTAAATTTTTTCCCATTTCTGGTATGTTCCGTTGCTGTGCAACTGAGATAGGTAATACAATTTTGGATCCCACACAGAAATCATTTGGCACCTCTAGAGTCTCGTCAGGCCATCCTTTTCATCAACATGTCCTTGAACTGCTCTTTCTCACCTTCTTCCCTTTAGCTGACCAGGGCAGTATCCACAGCACATTCCTCTCATGAAAAGATTAGACGGCAGAGTCAATAGTAGCTTTGTTTCAAAAACGGAAAACTGCACTTAAAACACTTCAGACTGTGGTTCTGTTTGAGCGGGCTATTGCAATGGATGTAAAAACACAGCTTTTGTTTAAACCATGCTATTTCTACATTATTACACTATACAAATTTAGAATTTGACAATGAAAAAAAAAATCACCAAAAGACATAAACTTTAATATTAATATCATTTCAAATGAGCCCTTTAAATGTCTAATAGGAATCCAAATCATAATGCATTAATTCATATCCAACAATATGAATCTGTTCTCCGCTGCAGAAGCATAGTGTGTTTTTCTGTTTAGTTTTATTTTACTGTTTCACTAACCCTCAAAAATTAAATTTGATTGTATCCAAGATTACCAAAAAATGCTAGAACACAACAGTTTGAACTTCTGAGTAAGAATGGTCACCCTGTGATCAGGGCTGCCATCAGGGCATGACAACCATAACGGTTGTCATGGGCCCGGCGGTCCTGGGGGGCCCGGACTGCTCAGGTTGTCCCAGGACCCACATTCAGTGGCATACATACCGGGGTCGCAGGGGGCCCAGCAGCCGGTCACCTCAGGGCCCCCCGAGGCTGGCCCTGGTGTGCTAGTGTGTGTGTGTTAGTGTGTGTGTGTGTTAGAGTGTGTGTGTGTGTGTTAGAGTGTGTGTGTGTTTGTGTTAGAGTGTGTGTTAGTGTGTGTGTGTGTTAGAGTGTGTGTGTTAGAGTGTGTGTGTTAGAGTTAGTGTGTGTGTTAGTGTGTGTGTGTGTTAGAGTTAGTGTGTGTGTCAGTGTGTGTGTTAGACAGTGTGTGTTTGTTAGAGAGTGTGTGTGTTACTATGTGTGTGTGTTAGAGTGTGTCAGTGAGTGTGTAACTATGTGTGTCCGTTATTGAGTGTGTTAGTTTGTGTGCGTCTGTTAGTGAGTGTGTGTTTTGTGAGTGAGTGTATGTATGACACTGAGTGTGTGTCTGTCAGTAAATGTGTGTGTCTGTTTGCTAGTGTGTATGCGTTTGTCGCACCGCACTGATGCCGGAGCCGGAAGATGACATCATCTTCCAGCTCCGGCATCAGTATGCGGCGCGCGAGGGAGCTGAACAGGAAGCACTCAGCCAGGGAGAGTGCTCCCTCGCGCGCCCACCAGCCCGCCCACAGGACTGCGTGCCAGGTGACACCACTGGACCCCAGAGAATCCCCTCAGCACTCCCAAAGGTAGGGAGGCTGAGGGGATGAAACTTAAAAAAAAAAAAAGTGTGTGTGTGTTAGTGTGTATGTTGGTGTGTGTTAGAGTGTGTGTGTTAGTGTGTCTGTGTGTGTGTTAGTGTGTGTGTGTGTGTGTGTTAGTGTTAGAGTGTGTGTGTGTTAGTGTTAGAGTGTGTGTTAGTGTGTGTGTGTGTGTGTGTGTTAGAGTGTGTGTTAGTGTTAGAGTGTGTGTGTTATAGTGTGTGTGTGTTAGAGTTAGTGTGTGTCAGTGTGTGTGTTAGAGAGTGTGTGTGTTAGTGTGTGTGTTACTATGTCAGTGAGTGTGTAACTGTGTGTGTCTGTTATTGAGTGTGTTAGTTTGTGTGCGTCTGTTAGTGAGTGTGTGTTTTGTGAGTGAGTGCATGTATGACACTGAGTGTGTGTCTGTCAGTAAATGTGTGTGTCTGTTTGCTAGTGTGTATGCGTTTGTTCACGAGAGTGTGTGTGTGTGTCTTAAGCACTTACCTTTCTCCAGCGCTGGACTCCCTTGGCGCTGGGGATCTCTCCGCCCTGATCCACCTCTCAGCTCCAAATGCGTATGCGTGGCAAGAGCCGCGCGCGCATTCAAACCGCCAATAGGAAAGCATTACTCAATGCTTTCCTATGGACGTTCAGCGTCTTCTCACTGTGATTTTCACAGTGAGAATCGCGGAAGCTCCTCTAGTGGCTGTCAATGAGACAGCCACTAGAGGCTGGATTAACACTCAGTGAAACATAGCAGTTTCTCTGAAACTGCTATGTTTTCAGCTGTACGGTTAAAACTAGAGGGACCTGGCACCCAGACCACTTCATTGAGCTGATGTGATCTGGGTGTCTATAGTGGTCCTTTAAGTGTATCTACATACCGCAGTCGCAGGGGTCGCAGCCCTGCGACCAGGTGCCAGCCGCCATGTGTTGCGGCCCCAGCCCGCACAGAGTAAGCACGCGCGGGGGGGGATGGGGGGTCCACGGATCAGTTTTTGCACCGGGGCCCCATGGGTTGTGTGTACGCCACTGCCCACATTAGCTATGTGCACACATATATAGCGATTAATGCTATATATGTGTGCACTGTGGGCCCCCTGCTACCTGTATTCTGCAGGGGGCCCAGCTCACTTGAAATATACTTCCCAGATATATTTAGATATATTTATATATATTTAGATATATTGAGATATGCAGCCCCCGCTACCTGTATTCTGCAGGGTGCCCAGTACACTTGAAATATACTGCCCAGATGCTCTGCTCTGTTGAAGTCTCGCGAGTGACGCGATCATCAGAGCGTTGCTATGGCAATGCTCCGCACGGCTTGCGAGACTTCGACAGAGCAGAGCATCTGGGCAGTATATTTCAAGTGTGCTGGGCCCCCCCCAGAATACAGGTAGCGGGGGCTGCACCATTCCTCAGGACCTCCGGCTCCAGGGCACCAGCCAATATGATCTACCCCCTACATGGCCACAGGTGAGATACAGGGAGGGGGGGAATAAAACAATACAATTAATGGATGGGAGAAAAAACTGTAGGCTTTCCCCTCCACATTTTGCAGGCCCATACATTTACTCACACTATACACTAACATTTACACACACTATTCACTAGCATTTACACACACTATACACTAACATTTACACACACTATTCACTAACACATTTACACACACTATTTACTAACATTTACACACACTATTCACTAACACATTTACACACACTATACACTAACATTTACACACACTACTCACTAACATTTATACAAACTATACTCTAACATATACACACAATATTCACTAAAATTTACACACACTACATCCTTACACAAACATACACTCTGCAGTCACTACACACACTACATCCTTACACAAATACACACTCTGGAGTCACTACACAAACACACACACTCTGCAGTCACTACACACACTACATCCTTACACAAACACACACTCTGCAGTCACTACACACACTACTTCCTAACACAAACACACATTCTGCAGTACCTACACAAACACACACGTTGTAGTCACTACACACACTACATCCACTACACAAACACACAGTCTGCAGTCACTATACACACATTAAATACTTACACAAACACACACTATGTAGTCACTAAACACACACTACATCGACTACACAAAGACACACTCTGCATCCACACACTGTATTCTCTAAACACTACATCCACTACACACACTCTGCATTCACTACACACACACACTACATCCACTACACAAACACACATTCTGCATTCACTATACACATCGCATTTAATACACACAAACACTACATCCACTACACAAACACACATACACACTCTGCCTTCACTGTAAACACACACTACATCCACTACACAAACACACACTCTGCATCTAATATACACCTCATACATTACACAAATGTACAATCTGCATCCACTATACACACTGCATCCGTTAAACACACACCGCATCCACTTAACACACAAACTCTGCATCCACTACACACATTCTACATC